TGTATGTACTCTTTTTGCTTTCTTTACTACCGCACGCCTTGTTGGACTGTCTTTCACCGAAATAATTAACCTCCGCTTTACCTAAAGGTGTCATTATCATACCCCATAATTCCCACCGAACCGTTTTTTTCTCTAGTGAGCAGGTCGTATTGCCAGGACCCCCCATTTATTCCCTCCCATCTTCTAAAACCTGCATACAAACAATGGTTCATTAAACATAATGTTTTTCGCTTCTCTTTTCTTTACTGCTTACCATCCCACTCAACCATTCCTTTCTGTCAAAGCTTCAACAATCCTGGTTAGCATGTGTGTATGCGTGTGTGTATGTGTATGTGATGATGTGTGTGCACACATATTGCGAACACCACTGCATAGTAAAAACCATGCACCATACCATCACAACACTTGAGGAGGAGAATACACATCTAAGTGGAGTCGAGTCCAAAGGCAAGGAAGGGACAACAAAAAAACACACAGGCCACAAACAGCAAGACAACACATAGGCTGAAGGGCTTGGGGAAGGAGGGAGGGGAGACAACATAAAAGCAGCAGACACGCCAGTCAACAAAAAAATGAAAAAGGGAAGGAAGGTAAGCACACAAGGCAGACAAATCAGAAAAAAAAGTACAAGTCTATAAAAGTTTCAAAGACAGAAAAAAAAAAAAAACCGATGATGAGAGATTGTTTCGTCGGAGTTGCACCGACTCATTAGGGGGCTGAACCCTCGACAATCTGCAGAGTCTTCATATTGGATGGTTTGGGTCATGAACCTTTTAACCCATGTTGAAGGCAGACTGTCCCCCAGACGGAACACAGCAGCGGGCAACAACCCTGCGGAGCACCAGGCAACGCAATAGAGGCAACAAAGCTGCGCTACGCCAAAAACGACTGAAAGGAACGACACAACATATAGGACAAGCAGTGCAGCAGCCACGTCGTGAAGCACAAGGCAATACCAACAGGGCAACCACACTGTCCACACAGCAGGGAACGACAAGGCTAGCAGTCGAGCAGCCAGGCAACCGTGCAGTGGAGCACAAGGCAACACCGACAAGGCAACCGAACTACAACGTGCGCAAATAAAAGGCATGAAAGGCACGACCAGCGGATGAGCAGCAAGGCAGGGGGGCAGCGAAGCGCAAGGCAACACCAGCAACACGGCCACACCACACAGCGAACACATCAACCTGCGAAGAACCACATGCGAAGCAAGTGGTACAGGCAGCAGGGCAAGGGCGGACCAGAGACGAGGCCGTCCACACATCCAACATGGAGCAAAGCGGCATATGACCTACTTACATCATGATTGAACCCCGCAGACTGTTGGTTCCCACCACCCACTGAGCCAGGGAGACACTCCGACGAGCATCTGTCTTCACCCATAGGCAACATAGACACCCCAAACCGAGCGGCACCCCCAAGAGTGCAGTAGGCACCCCAAATGTGGAACCAAGGACTGTTTGGCACTACTTAAGGGTGCTCAGTTGGGCACACTGAAAATACTTAGAAAAAATCAGTAGGCACCCCAAATGTGCAGGCCAATGGATCCTCGAGGAGCCAGAAGATAGTGCCTCTCCGTTAGGAAAAGTCCCACAGATGTAGGGCATGTGGGGTCGCATTTTTCTTTCACGTTCCGTGCGCTGCACCTCCATCTTTCGCGGCACTTTTATGTTCTTACGAAAAATGGTAGAAGTGGGATCTGCCCCTAAGAATAGGAGTTGTCCATGGAAAATAGTTTCAATATTACGTGGTAATAAAACAAAGGGGTAACTAGGGTGCAGTGACGAAAGCAGTTTGTAAATGCATTTTCCACTGCCTTTTTGGGGTCCAGTACCGTCCCAAGTTTCAACTGCAATAGAAACTGAGGGCCTCGTTAGACACTCCTTGGGGACGTGAAATCCACGAGGACGTGCTCGTTCCACCTGTCCTTGGGGACGAAATTGAAAAAGAAATGTGAAAACGCCACAAGGAAAATTCCTTGTGGCATCCTTGTGGCCCCAGCCATTTCTTCCTTGTGCCCAGTGGGACCTCACAAGGTCCCTTGGGCACAAGGAATCCGCGTTTCACGGAGAGGAGAGGGTACACGTGTAGGTAGACGTTACAGCTGAGAATCTGGATCGTGGCGGCACCCCATTGGCTGAAGGCCTGAAGCACAACTGTTCTTTTCTTTTTTTTTCTTTTTTTTTTCCTGACATCAGTCTTAGGAAATGTCCTCGGAAAGTGGTCAGGGTTAGAAACAAAATCAGTGGGATTAGATGGTTCCAAGGAAACTGGGCTCGGAAAGGTAGGCTGGCGTCAGTAGAAGGGGGGAAGCTGCAGGTGTCGGAATGGCTATTCGCAGCTTAGGGACGACCTGAACACTCGGTCCTTATTTCCACAGTAGGAAGGCAGCAGTCGGATGGCATGAGGGGTTGGAGGGAGTGTTAATTGATGAGTCCGGTGTAGGACATAGTCCCGTCTATAGGGACTAATACCAGTTGCCCCGAGATAGGGAGCCGCTCCAAAGAAGACTAGTTATAGCCTCTGGGAGGCTCTCCCGAAACCGGTATTAGGTTCTTACTGTGAGAGAGGCGACTGTACAACAGTTAGCTGAGTAGAATTAATATTAGGAATGGGGGTAGCCGGCGTAGAAACCAGGAAGAGTAGCTAACCAAGGACTAGGACCCTAGGATTTTGGTAGACCCATAGGGAGGTAGGAGTCCCGGTAGTTTCTGTAGGCTAACGTTAGCAGTAGGTAATGCGCAGCCGATGAGCTGCTGGGTCTGTAGGAAAGACCTGCAGGCTTGTAGCCTGTAAGCTAAGCTGCATGATGCTTCCAGATACTGGTTTGAACAGGGGAGTAATGTGGAGGACCCCGGCCAACGAATGTTATTGAGTAAGTTGAAGTTGAACTTTGAGGGGAAAAAAAAAAAAAAAAAGTCCTCGGGCGACATCCCCAAGGACAGGTGGAACGAAGAGCCCAAATTCCCTTACGAGCCACAAGGAAAATTCCTTGTGGCTCAAGGAATTGGTAAGGAGTGTCTAACGAGGCCCTGAAACTCTTGACGTGCACAAAAGTCGCAAGGCCCAGTTTGCAACTGCATTCCAGTCCGGCATGTGGCCTTTTTTTTTTTTTTTTTTTTTTTTTTTTTTTTTTCCTCGGATGTGGCCGTGGCACCGCCGCCACGGTGGCCCAGCCACACGACGAGATGCTCTATCTCTCTCTGATTTTTTTTTTTCTTACCTTACCTTTGATGTGGCCGAGGCATTAGGGCCATGATCCACTATTCTTGACAGCCACGAGATGCTCTCTCTCTCTCTGATTTTTTTTTTTTTTACCTTAGCTTTGATGTGGCCGAGGCATTAGGGCCATGATCCACTATTCTTGACATTCTTGGGTATCCCCGTGTTTTTGCGTGGCGGCCTGGAAAAGTATGGGGTTTGAATTCAAATTCTTAGCGCCACCCTTTTTGAGGGCATCTCAGGCAGAAGCATCCCCACAGAAGGGCAAATAGGACAGGCAGCAGCGGAACTAGGACCGCTGGAACTAGGACCGCTGGACCGGTATGGGCATTCCGAAAAGTTGTGCCCCTCACTGACAGGGTCCTGCACGAAATTTCAGAGGCCCAGGGTCAGGGTAAGTCGGCCGTCAGATCGCAAATTAACCCAAACTTCAGGGACATTTGAAAAGTTTCCCAAAAACAAAGTGAAGAAAAAAGAAAATAGAAAAAACAGCCGTCGTGGCATGTATCTGACAGTACTCGTGCGGGAAGTGGCGCGCTGTTGGCATTATGGTTGCGACACATGGACCGCTCCCGTGCGCCATCATCTGTTCCACGGGGGCATCAGGCCAAAAGCTGAATGACCGGAGAGGGCGGGAACGGGCGGGAATTTATTTTTTGGGCGTGAAATTCGGCCAAGAGCATCTCCGCCGTTTTTCAATTTTTGAAGGCTACTCGCGAAATGTGAAAATGGCGGGCGTTTGGGCTGAAAAGGCCACCGGATGTCAGATTAGACACAATATTGAATTTACCTGGGCTGGTTAGTCCGATGATAATGGGCGTCGCTGCACTACTCTTGAAATGCACAAAAGACGAAATTCATGGGGGTGTATCTGTCCATATTCTAGCGGAAAATTCACTCTCGTTTTGCACATTTCAAGAGTAGTGCAGCGAGGCCCAATACCTCAAGGCCATAGCCAATGGCGAGCGCACAAAAACAGAGAAAAGAAAAACAGGAAGGAGAGTGCGTTTTCACGCAGATGGTGCAAGGGTGCACGGGATACTATAAATAGTAGCAGATGTATCCGAACGCTCTCTGCGTGCAGGAGTACTCCCGATTTTGTCGTTTAATGCGGAGTGTGGCAAGCCCCATAAACGTTGGAAGATGCACCCCATGAAAGAGCAACCGAAGCTTGAGTACGCCCTCATGCGAATCAGAAGTCCTCGCTCAGTTGGTAAGGCACCCAAGTGGCATTCAGGAGGTCTTCGGCTCAATTCCCGTTGGCCTCATGTACTTTCCTGGGCATGCTTGGCGCCCGCCAACTACAGTATCTGCTGATGTTCATAGGAGGAGGGGGTAATCGGGGAACACAGCGACTGGCCGCTCAGATGATGCTCGGTCCCTCTGCTACAGGCTGTCCCCTTGCCGGTGTCTCCCACAGGGGGGCTACCTGAAGGCAATAAGGCCACCCTGCGCTGAGAAGGCCGGCTCGGCTGAGCCAATGAATTTACGTGGGCTGGTTCGTCCGATGATAAAACGTCGAGCCAATGGCCCTCAAAAAAAAAAACAAAAAAACAAAAGGCCCTTGGTCAGGACGTGATCTGACCCCTCTCCGCGCGCCCTGCGGGTCTCTCTCTCTCTCTCTCTCTCTCTCTCTCTCTCTCTCTCTCTCTCACACACACACACACACACACACACACACACACGCGCACAGAGGGCCTCACTCCACTACTAAGATAAAAGTGAGTTTGCGGCCTTTCGGCCGTCAAACCTCCGAGCGTCACTGACAAGCGTACGAGGCGATCATACTTTTTTCCGGGCAAGGTGGGTCATGACGGCGCCAGTGTGCGCTCTGTGTGTGTTCGTGCGTGTGTGTGT